TCAACGGCATTACGACGGGAAGACCAAGGATGGGTTTCACACATTTTGCCCAATTTGGGTATACTGGAACCGGATTTTCGTCAGAGGAGCTAACGTTTTAACACGTTTTAACACGTTTTCTCTATACAACACCAGTGATGTAAGCAAGAGAAAACCGTTTCGTTGCCGTCATAACGGCTTCCTCAACACAATTATGCAGTGTTAATATATTCGTTTTTTTAGATAAGGAATGAATGAGTGGACGAATGAGTATGACTTTTACGCCACCTATAGCAATATTCCACCAATATTCCAGCAATATCACGGCGGGGGACACCAGAAATGGGCTTCACACATTGTACCCATGTCGGGATTCGAACCCGCGCGTGCACACTATACACACACCGAATTATTTTTTTCAATTAATTTTCACAAGGAGAATTTTGCCCAACGCCTCCACACATTGGCCAACAACATATGCACACATATGCGAAATTACCTTTTTAACCATTCATTGCAGGTTTATCTTGTCCCGCTCTGCTATGAAAGGTGTAGTAACATAATGCCATGCTGTTTTCTTTGTGAAACCTGCAAACTGTTGGTTTAATATCAATAAAAGTATTAATTGCAATAAAACCGAGTTTAGCTCCGTCGATTCAGCAGTCTGAACTACGAGGGTATTTTTTTGGTCCGCTATAAGCAACCGCAAACTTAGTACCAGTGTCTAAAAAGGGAGGGGTGAGGTTGAGTGTCAATTGTTATCAACAAATCTTAACAAGGTGAGACTTTGCTAAACCCATGCACCCACTGACCGACATCTACATGCATACAAAGATTTTTAAAAAAACGAATATAGATTCAATATATATGGCAATTGGTTTGTTTGAAATTTTGTTTTGTCAAAGATTAATCTAAAATATTTGCTGTATATAATTAGGAAATTTGTAATTGTCGAGAATACTGTCGATGCATTAAATGGGCTGAAGAGTAAAGCTAGATTGTTTACATTTGTATAGAGCTCGAACAGAAGTTTGTTACTGATCGTGATATAAAGATCAGTTGTCAAGGTCATCGGTCGTTTTGCAGTTTGTACATTGATCACTGTGGTGTTTAGTTGCAGAGTTTAGATCTGCAATAGATCTCTGAATTTTTTAACTTATTTTGTCTAAATGAGTCGAGTAAGAAAAAAATGTGCCATTTAGTAATACTTTTAGTGTGAAGGGATTTATGTCCATATAGATTTTCAATTTGGAATATAAATGTTGAAATTTTGAAATTAGATGCTATTTTATATCAATGTGTTGATCCTCTTGCTAAGTTTAAGAGTTTTAGAGTTGGCGGGGGTAGATAATAGGTCAGATAATATAAGTAATGTGTTGAGGGAGGTTCCAGTTCTTGCCCTCAGGACTACCTTTAAGGATTACTTAAGAATGGACTTTCACTTTGTGTGAGTTCATTGAAGTATAAACCTTCATAGAAGGTGGTCCAAACTGAATGAACGTCGGGGCTCGACTGGCGCCAGCAATGGCGGCGGGTATGGTGGCTGCATGGAGTATGCTCCCGTGTTGTTTCAGCTGAACAATTAACTTGCCTTTACATGTGTTTGTGACGGGTGCCATCGTTGGTGCAGGATACGCTCACCTTTTCACGAACAACTGGTATCATCACTATTCTCGAGGGATTCATAAACACATGCTCATGACATAGTCGGAATCGTACAATCGACTCTACTTTTAGCAGAGATTTCCTTTTGAATGTGGTAAGGGTATTGTCGCTTTTATTTATTTGAAAAAGAATGGGGGCGGGACCTTGTTGGATTGTGGTAGGGTCGGAGGCTTTAGATGGAGACTTTAGTGGTGGAGGTTAAAAGCTGTTGGTGAGTCGGACGTTGTGATGATGTTGTCACTGTCGCTGATAGTACTTGCGATGGCCGATTATATCATGAAATAATGTGAATGAATGAATCATAATGAGTGCGCCTTTTAATATTTTGGCCCCATCTCAGATGCGTGAAACCCTATCATGATCAGTTCGTCTCGTATGTTTTAGCTTTAACGACTTAGTCTTGTAATGTATTAGTTCCATTTAAGACGCGCCACTTCCTATCAAAATGAGTTATACTTTTAATGTTTTAGCTCAAGTTGAGATCCATTTAGATCTCTTATACGATGCAAATACATACATTGTCGTTTTCAATTTTATGGCTATTGAAATGTCTTTTAATGTGTCACGATCAGTTGGAGCGTCCCATTTTTGTTATTAAGAGTGTATCTTTTTTAGCTCGGGCTAAGACGCATTACTTCTATAAAAAGCTAGATTTTTTGCGGAGCGATCGTAGCCCTAATATTATCGTAAAGTTAACGTAAGGAAATCCTAGGCTATCGTAGCCTATTTTCGAAACTATCGTTTTTGTTTGTGTTTTTTTTAACGCCGCACTCAGCAATATGAAACTATCAGTGGCCCTAAGTTATCGTAAGATCTAAGATAGCCCCATACATGTCGTAAGTTTATGTTATCTTCATCCAAGATGGGGGCATACTTTGCCATAGATATTTTTCAAACAAATAATCGAAGATATCACGATAGAAATGTTCTTAATCGCGACAGCGAACCACATAACTATGGAGTCGATAGCTTATAATATATTTCTATCCGAGTCCATGCTGAAGAAGTGTGAAACAACCAACCTTTTCGATAATTTGGGAAGGATTAAAACGGAAGGTGTCGGCAGGCACTGTAGTAATGACCGTGACCTTATCAGGGGCAGCTAATCTTACTGATTTAACAAGGAAATACATGTGATCAAATATGCGTATAGTATATTTGTATAAAGAGTATATTTAGTGTTTTTCCACCAGCAAAAGTAATTGTGTTTGGTTCCGTTTTCAAACCAACACCTAGGTTATCTACTGAAAGACAAATATTTGACAAGTGATTAAGTAATGTCTATTGAATAATTGTATTCTTTAAAAAGACGATTAACGAAATAGATGTATTCCATTGAATAAAGCAATTTATATTTTGAGAGCAAAAGTTAAGCACGTATTTTCTTATCGTATTTTCGAGAATGGCGATTTGAAAAAAAGAGTAAAACATGGGTACCCATGCTCATTTGGGTTTAAAAATGTTGCAAAGAAGTAAAATATTTTGAACATTGTCCAAAATTTACTTTCCAATATATTTTCGCAGAAAATGTTTATTGAATGAAAATTACTGATCAATATAAATTAGACGTTTTCACCATAATACTCTTTGAATTTAGCCTTCAGTTGACCGATTTTAAAATAATAATTGATGTTAGTCTTTCTAAGATTAAGGTGTACATTTACCCGTTTTATATTCACAAAATATAGATACTTGAGACCATTCAAACAATAATATCATTGTAAAGGATAGGGTCACCGGACAACTACTATTAATTGACCCCAGCAATGCTGTCAGACAAGCCAAGCGTCATCGAACTACGTTCTTGAATAGATTTTACACATTGACAGTGTAGACATTTCGCTCCTCGGCCAGATTTAAATCAAATCAGTTTATTAGCTCTATTTAATATAAAAGGATAGAAAAGGACTACATTATATGTATGTTTACGTTAACTTGTGGCGTGTTCCATGAGACAACATAACTTTACAATTCCTAAATTATCCCCGTTTGTGAACGAAAGTGTCACTTTCAAATTTTGATAAGAATTGTGGATCTAGATAGGTTTTAAAAAACTAACATCATCTAAATACAAATAGCTTGATATTGTATTTGAGTCGTTTGTTTATTCGTAAAATATAATCGATATGTAAATAACAAAAGAAACTTACATTGTCATTGTAACTCGCTCGTGGGTACGCTGCTTCCTAAGCAATTTTTGTCTTCAGTGTTTCCAGGTATAATGTCAGTGATCTCTCTATATGCTTGACTTTTGACACAAACACAAAAACAAGCAGTATTGTGAAACTGAACCAGCATACATCACGTAACATCAGACCTGAACACGCATCTTTATGCTGAACGCCTGCTATATTCGATCATAGGTCTCGTCATTGTCATTTAGAATAACGTCCCTTAATTACTTTCGTCCTTGACTTTTTACGCGATGTGTTTACATAAAGCTCTGCGCGCTCGCGAGAGGATCATTAGAAGGGAAAATAGTGGAGTATCTTTCTTGCACATTATTTCAATTCTATTAACTCTTATGTGGTAACACTACACTTAATGATTATAAAATTTATTGTGTTTGAAAAATGCCTTTGCATGGCACAGCGTTCGCTCGTCACGCGGAAGACCCTGGTTCAATTTTATTTCTGGTGTCCCCCGCCGTGAAATTGCTGGAATATTGCTAAAAGCGGCGTAAAACCGTACTCACTCACTCACTCATATAATGTAATTCAGCATATCAAAGTATCCTATGTACATCATGTGTTCATTTTCATGCATTCATACACACACCCGCATTCATCTTGACATAGTCACACTAAATTACAATCATTATATAATTATACACTCTGTGATTTATTTAATTCAATTTAACGCCCTTCACTTGAATACGCAAAAAACAGAACGATAACACCTGGCCTTGTTGTCAAACAAATTATTCCGCTTGTTATCGTCTTTGTTTTGTTTCTGAAGTGACGTCATATATATATATATATATATATATATATATATATATATATATATATATATATATATATATATATATTGAAAACACGGTGCTTGGATGCACGGGCGAGGGCTGGGCGGTTCTTGATGGATATAGGACGCCAAGACTGTTTTAGACACAAAAGACTGTATTTCTGTTGGTCAAGCACATGGTCAACACTCCTGGCTGGAGGCTGCCATTTTGGTACATATGGAAATTGAAAAATGGTAAAGGAAACGAAATCAAATATAACAAAAGTGGAATTAGACAACGAAACGAAATAACAGACATTTGGGCTCAAAAGGCTTTCTGACACGGCCGCCCCCAAATTTAGGCACTAAATTTGTCAATATCTGAAGAAAGTCTTTCCACACTGGAACTAGAGTCAATTATCGTCATCCGCACATTCCGGTAGTGGGATGAGTCTTGTGATTGGTCTGGTGTACTCCTTGTCTTTCACACTGACAGTGGCAGTGCGAACACATCCATCTGTTCCGGGGTAGGTTTTAGTGACTCTACCAACAGGCCACTGAGCTCTTAAGAGCTGTGGATCAACTATCATGACAACGTCATTCATCTTCAAGTTTTGTCTTTCTTTCTGCCATTTTGTGCGCAGCTGCATATCAGGAAGATAATATTTTACAAAGTGTACCAAAAAGTGGTCAGCCAGAACTTGACTGTGGTGCCATCTGCGTCTGCTTAATAGTTCATCAGCTGGATAGACAACTTGTGGAAGAGAAGCATCATGGCGGCCAATCAGCAGGATGTTTGGTGTAACTGGGTCCACATCTCTGACATCTGATGAAACGTAGGCTAACGGCTTAGAATTCAGAATCACTGCCACCTCCGCTAGAATGGTACGTAACACAGGTTCTTTCACTGTCTGATCTCCTAGTGCCACTCGGAGGCCATATTTCACAGATTTAATCTCTCTTTCCCAAACACCTCCGAAGTGTGGTGCATGAGGAACATTGAACACAAATCTGACCTTATGGCGAGCCAGTTGTGCAGCAAGGTCTGGTTCCATACTTGCAAGTGCCTCATGCAACTCTGTTTTAGCCCCTCGGAAATTGGAACCTTGGTCCGAGATGAGTTCGTAAGGTTTGCCTCTCAGTGAAGCGAAGCGGCGAAATGCCATGAGGAATGCATCCGAGTCCATGCTCCTGAGTATGTCTAAATGCACCGCACGGGTGGTCATACATTTAAATATCAAACCCCATCGTTTCTCTGAGCGATGTCCAACCTTCACATGCATTGGTCCGAAGCAATCATCTCCCGTTGAGAAGAATGGTGGTTTGAAAAGTTGCAGACGTGGTGGTGGCAAGTCAGACATTTTCTGTGTCCTCGGGTTTGAGCGCCATTTCTGACAGGTGGAACACTGACGCTGATGGCGTCGAATCGCTTCTCGTCCCCTCAATATCCAAAATCTGCGTCTTATCTCTGCGAGTATACGCTCCTGCCCATAGTGTAAGAGCTTCTCATCTTGATCCCGGATGATCAACTTTGTTATAACATGTTGTGGGTCAAGAAGAATTGAATGTTTGATGCCTGTATTTAGAGATTCAGCTCTCTGTAAGCGTCCTCCTACTCTGATCAGATTCTGATTCTGCATCATAGATAGGGTCAAGCTGGAGGAGCCGGCTGTCTGGAGGCAATCGTTTACCTGATTTTAGTGCTGTGAATTCTATCTGCACTAGTTGATAGAGATGGTTCTCTATTTGTTCAAACCGTTCAGCGGTCAGGGGTTGAGCATTTTCCGGGAAGGCCGCCCCATCAAAGGACTCTTTAACATCAGCCACATACACTTCCCAAGAAGTGTACTGTTCTGCATCTGGCAGCTGAGGTGTATTCACAAAAATTGTGCCACACATCACAGATTTCTTTATCTCTGTATTGTCAGAGTCTATTGTCACTGGGGTAACTGGCCAGCGATCAGGTGTCTGGTGCATGAAATCTGGCCCATCCTTCCACCGCGATTCCTTGCAGAGTTCTCTGAGCAGTTTACCTCGAGTAATGTCATCGGCAGGATTTCTCTGTGTGTCAACATATCGCCAGTTCTGTACATCTGTGAGATTCTGGATTTCTGATACTCGTGTTCCAACGAATACCTTGTATCTGCATGATTCTGACTTCAGCCAACCAAGTACAGTAGTAGAGTCACTCCACAATATCACTTTCTGGATTGGCAAAGTTAATTCCTTGCTCAACACATCAGCTAGCTGAGCACCGGTGAGAGCTGCACATAGTTCTAGGCGTGGCATAGACAGCTGTTTCTTTGGGGAAACCTTTGATCGCGCCATAAGGAAACTGACATAGATGTTTGCTTCTTCGTCTGTTGTGCGCAAGTATGCTACTGAACCATACACTCTGTCAGAAGCATCACAAAAGATGTGTAGTTGTCGGTCTGCACTTCCAGAGTCCACACAATGGGGTGTGTAACACCTTGGTAGAGTGACCATTGGGATTTCTTCTAGCTCCTTTTCCCAGGTCAGCCATCTTTCACAGATGTCCCCCTTTTCTATAGGGTCATTCCAGTTTCTCTTTGACTTCCATAAGTCTTGTACTATGATTTTGGCTCGTGCAAGGAATGGTGCCAAGTAGCCGATGGGATCATACTGACTAGCAAGAATCCTGTAGATCACTCTCATGGTAAGCTCTTCATACTCTATGGTTCTGTGTTTGTAGGTGAGCTCATCAGATTCACAGTTCCAACGCAAGCCTAGGGCTGGCTCAAGGGAGTCACCCTGGCCGAAGGTAAGCCAAAGTTCTGTATTTCCCGATCTAGCATCGGACGGAAGGTCTGCCACAACGGATGGAATATTGCTGGTCCACTGCCTAATGTTGAAGCCACCTTGTGCAAGCAAGTCTCTCATTTTCCGTACAAGTTCCTTGGCTTCTGTTGCTGTAGGTAGGCTATGCAAGCAATTGTCAACATAGAATGATTCTTCTACAGATTTGAGTACTTCTTCATTGCCAGCTTTGTGATCCGAGACATGTTTCCATAAAGCATAGCTGGCACAACATGGCGAGCAGGTGGTGCCGAATGGTAGGACTTGCCATTCGTACACATCTGGAGGGCGATCATGTTCCATGTTTCGCCAAATGAAATGCAGAAGAGGTTTGTCACGAGAAAGCAGTCTTACTTGATGGAACATGGCTTTTATGTCTCCTGATATAGCAACTGCATGTTGCCAGAACCGAAGAAAGACACCAAGCAGTGATGATCCGACTGTTGGCCCAGGCAGAAGGTGCTTGTTCAAGATTTGGCCGTTGTGCTCGAAGGAGCAGTTAAATACCAGGCGAAACTTCCCATTGTGTTCAACAATGTGGTGTGCAGGGATTCAACTGGATATGTGTACTCGGACATACACAAGTTATCTGCAGTGAAGGCACCCTTAATCTTGTACCTGATGTTTGGTTTGCTGATAGGAGATATTTGCAGGTCAACTGAGTGTCAATTACACCTAAATGGCTCCTTGTTGACAGCTGTAGTTGTGATGCACCACTTCATTTAATTAGTTGCTCTCTAATGTTTCATCTCTAGTTGTGACGCACCACTTCATATAATGAGTTGGTGTCAAATGTTTCAGTTCCATTTGTGATGCGCCACTTCATTTTATTTAGTTTCTTATGTTTCAGGTCTAGTAATGAAAACCACTTCATATTAGTTGGTCTTTAAAGTTTCAGGTCCAGTTGTGAGCACCACTTCATATAATGAGTTGGTCTCTCATGTTTCAGCTCGAGCTGTGATGCACCACTTCATATAATGAGTTGGTCTCTGATGTTTCAGTTCCATTTGTAATGCGTCATTTCATATTAGTTGGTCTCTTATGTTTTAGCTCCAGTTGTGACGCACCTTTACATATGACAAAATGAGTTGGTCTTTGGTGATGTAGCTGCGGTTATGACCAACCACCAGGAGTAGGGTCATATGGGAAAGACTTATGCCACTCAGGCAAAAAGTAAGGCATCTGGTTATTGTGTACTGCTGCCAGTCTATGTAACACTAGAGTCTCCGTGACACAGCACACAGCATATACTAGTAGACAGACCCCACCTATGCGCGTTACTGCAATTTCGAATTTCGGTTTTGTTGTTGTTGCGTGTCAGTAGTTTTGGTGTCAATATATTTGTAGTTATTGTCAGTGGCTGCAACATACTAAAACTGACGGGCATAAGAAACGAATCCACTGACGTTGCTTTTTTCTGAACAGGACCAAGACCTAGAAAGACACTTGTATTGTCAAAAGACACGAATTAATAACATCATTACAAGTTATGCCGTGAATGAGAACAAAACAATGAATGTGTCCACAGTTTGGAATGTTCTGGAGGTGATAAGTCTGGCCAAGGCACGTTGGTCACGTTGGCTTGCATTAAATCTCTTACAGGACTGTATGTGTCCTTGCGTTATCTTGCTAAAACAGGCTCCGGAGGTTCTGTTGCAAGAACGGCAATACAACAGGGCGGAGAACGCTGTCAAGTGTCCTTCCGAAATCACCAGATCTGTCCTGACTTGGTCACAGATGCCGCCCCAAATCACGGAGCCGCCACCTCAAAATCGTTCGACATTTTGAACGCAACGTCACGGTGGTTCTCCTCGGCGGTAAACACGAACTCTTCTATCTGCTTTGAAAAGTCTGCCGGGTCTGTGAACATGACTATTTGCCTGTTTCTGTTCTGCCAGTGTCGCAGTGTTCGAGCCCATCGATGTCTTCAACATCGGTGTTTCAGTGTCAGAATTACGCCTAGCAGTGGTCTTTTAGCTTCAAAATTATACCAACCGACTGACAGGATGACCAATGCCAGTCACCGATGATGATGTGAGAAACCAATTCCTCAGACTGAGGATGCATAAGTAGCGGTCTTCCCGTGTTGGGGTGACGGGAGGTGACTGTAACGGTAGCGACGTGGTCATTCGTGGCTTCTTGGCTTCTTGACGTTTCATATCAACGACTTTTCCTCTCTGCTGTAGCCTTAATCTAATTAAAACCTGTCGTCAAAGGACAGTTTAACTGATATAGCAACATATTACAGATGTGTATTATGATTAGAGTTATCCGCCCTTGACAGGCTTGAGCGTTTCAGACAGTCGGGGTGGGTCAATTTTCTAGAATGCTGAATGCTCCTATATAAGAGCGACAGTAGCTCGATTCGAGGCCTTTTCGACCTAACTTGTAATTAATCTAGCTGCCAAGTGTGGTTTGGCTACCCATGTGGAAACACCGATTTCCTGCCAGTTTCGACAATATTCTCGGGCACGAGATAGGATTTATTCAAGACAGTCAACAATGACAATGTTCTGAACATTGGTGAGGGCCTTTATAATTGTAAACCTAAAACTGTGTATTTAAATATAATTTTATGATTATTGATTAAACGTTTGTGATCATTACTGATTTCACAGGGATTTTTCTGTGCGAACCTATTTCTGGGTTAGCCTTTGAGTTACACATTGGAAATCCCATTGTAACACTATTAAACATACATTGAAATCGATACGGTGTGCATCGCACGGGATTGAGGTCAGACATGGTTATTGTGACTGGTTATTTTTATGGCCATGTGTCAAAACAACACACAGTGTTTAGCCATTGTTACAACGAGTAGGTAGTTTATTTTACACATGCTGTCGCAACGGGAAGCTAACAGTTCATTTGTTTAGCCCATCCATATATCGAACTGAGAAAGTACAAAAAGTAAATAACTACACTTACTTAAGGGCTAAATTAACAAAACAGACGTCTTCTAGATACAATGAAAACATTTGCTAAATGTGGGAAGGATCCACGTAAAGAGTAGAACTTTCAAACAGAATAATGAATGTTTGACATAATTATTATTAAAATGATTCACAATATCAACCACAAACTCAACACATTGATAGTGATATAACTCATCACAGCTATCCACGGTTGGTAAGTGTAAAACATGTACACAAAACAAACGAACGTGATAACTATAGCGTTTACATGTACACACTGTCCTTCAAGCATTGCTTTGTTAGCTCAGACAACTATAAAACCTAAATACACACTGGCTCCCAAGGCAAGCGACTTGTGCTGTAATAAATACCCTTACGTAATGCAATGGTGTCATATCCTAATAAATATGTATGAGCTGCGCAGTAAACAAGTACGGGTGTTGTTTTATAGCAGGCACACCTTTACACTTCACTACAACGTCTCGGCATTGCAGGGAGCCATTTTTCTTACGGAACAGGGCAGTATTTCGCCGATGCATCGGGCAACAAAAGTTTGTGAATTCTAAAGGTAGGTCAACGTTTAAAACATAGTAGCTGCCATGGCAATATAATATTTGTTTAAGTGTCTGGCTTTTGGGGGGCTACAAATGGGTTCATTTGCTATGTAGTTGGGGTTTTAACTTGTAGCATGGAGTGAGTGTGAAAACGTCATTAGTGTGGGTAGTGGTAAGGGGCTGCGGTAGGTGTAAGAGTATGGGCAGGGCTAGGGCTAGAGGAAGGGAAAGGGTCGGGGTAGGGTAGTGATTAGGGTATGCAGTGAATCCTGATAAACAGTAACCATCGACACACCACATATTTCCCGGGACCTCAGCCCCCTGCTGATTGTCAAGCCAGGTGGACATGGTAACATTTATGTTTCATGATCTGATCGTGTGCTTCATGTTACAAGGGTTAGTGAACCACAAAGTGGTCTTCAATTTCTGACCAGTGCAACCCTCTGTTTGTGATACCATGGACATCACGGGTGATGGGACTCTTAAGCAGGGATTTACATGTATCTGCTCAGAGGCCTATGTTTCCCTGTCCTTTTTATTTTAGAAATAAGCGACTCTATCTCTAGTGTTTTATTGTATGATAAACATCGACCACGAGTCATTTATAGAATATCAATATCATATGCAGCCTCTTCCATGATGTTAATAAAATATTTACCTGTATTAAAAAAATGATGACTCCCTGAATAAAATCTGACCTCGGCAATGTCATTTTATGAACAGGTGGGTTTAAATTTGGTCTTTCCCACCAATTCTCACAAGTCTCAAGTCAATTATCTGTCCCTTTTCTCCCAAACCTGATTGTCATATCTCTCCCACTTTTGGACACGATCGTTCGGCCATTGAATTTATCTGCGTTGCCCAGACACATTTTTGGGAACAATTCATGTTCCTCTCAAACATAACGTCATCCAATTTACAACATGTTCGAATCTCCAGAAATGACGTCATGATAGAATGCACTCAGTCATGACGATCTGATCTGGTCTTACATCGCGAAGTGCATCAAATCATGTGAGCTCCTTGATTAAAAACATTAAATGATTTGGAAAATATCTTGCCTCGGAAGGATGTATTGTCATTTACCAAAGGTTCCATGTGACACACATGGAACAGTAGATTTTCATGGTTGGGGTCATCTTGGTCAAGATCTTGTATGGCCACCATTAGAGTCCAAAAGTGACTTTCATCATCATCCAATGTGTAATGTATGTATGCGAAACGTATGTAAAATATGGCAATTGAGCCACTAGTCTTGGTATATTTGTCATTGTGCTAAGCGGCCCAATCAACGGCCTCGTTTTGAGATGTGTCATAAGCGAAGCAATAAAAGTTGTCAGGCCGCCATAACTGTCGTTTAATACACCATGGAAGCAGTCACATCCCGAATTGTAATAAAAGTTGTCGTTCATTACATGGTGTCAAAAGTGATCCGACTCCATCGTTTCAATTAAGAAGCATCGTCAACTTCATGCCAAAGCAATCAATATCTCTCAGTGTCAATGTTCAGATATTCAAAGACTCGAAAAGCTAAGAGTTTTAACCGATTTGCAGTGACATTTATTTGGTAAAATTGTACCAAGGAAAAGTTCAGGTACAATTTACACAATTCATGTTTATGGGAAAGCACATATACTATTCTCATATAATTAAGGGCACATAGACTGAAGAGATTATTCTTTATGAGATGCACCGACTCATATCCAGGGACAGATACAAGAGTGACGTTAGAAAGACACTTTGCCATGTTTGCAAATGTTTTATTAAGTGTGACATTGTACATCTATTCCCCAAAGCTTTACATTTTCAGAAAGGGAAGGATGTAATGTATGAATGTGAAGCGTATGTAATATAAGGCAATTGAGCCGTTAGTCTTGGTATATATGTCATTGTGCTAAGCGGCCCAATCAACGGCCTCGTTTTGAGATGTGTCATAAGCGAAGCAATAACAGTTGTCAGCCCGCCATAACTGTCGTTCAATACACCATGGAAGCAGTCACATCCCGAATTGTGGCCTGGGGAATGTTCATGCACTCTGCCTGCAGTGGTTGTGCCAGCTGTCGGAGGCTTGGTGTTTGTTGTTAACGTGCATGCATGGAGGTTATCACGCGAGTGTGTTATACGTCACAGGTTAAGTTATGTGTAAGTCGGAGAGTGACAGTAGGCAATATAGTTCCAACTGAAATCTGTTTCTTATACTGTGGCGAAGCAACAGTTACGCAATTGTTTTCACTTGCCTTTGGCGACAATCTATCGGTCTGTCCGCTAGAGTAACTGCTTCTAGTCAAAGGGAAGCTACTCAACCCCTAGGCTATGAGCAGTCACGGCCACTTCAGACGTTGTTGACAGTCGGCCTGTACAGTCATAACGTTACGAAGTGCAGTCAGGTCCGATGTACACACAGCGACAAAACGAAACAAGGTAACAATTCGAACATGGTGTTAGTGTTTGGGGATTGGTCATTCTCAGAATGAGTTTACCCTGCTGATGTTCGGTTTGATCATTCTCAGAACCACATTATCCTGGCGGTTTTTGGGCTTTGATCATTATCAGAACCACTGTGCCCTTAAGGTGTTGGGCTTTCATCATTCCCAGAACCACTGTACCCTGGTTATGTTGGGCTTTAATCATTCTCAGAACCACTTTGCCCTGGTGGTGTTGGGCTTTGTTCATTCTCAGAACCACTGTACCCTGGTGGTGTTGGGCTTTGTTCATTCTCAGAACCACTGTACCCTGGTGGTGTTGGGCTTTGATCATTTTCAGAACCACTATACCCTGGTGGTGTTGGCTTTTATCATTCTCAGAACCATTGTACCCTGGTGGTGTTGGGCTTTGATCATTCTCAGAAGCACTGTACCCTGGTGTTGTTTGAACTTTGATCATTCTCAGAGCCTCTGTGCCCTGATGATGTTGGGCTTTGATCATTCCAAGAACCACTGTACCCTGGTGGTGTTGGGCTTTGATCATTCTCAGAGCCTCTGTGCCCTGATGGTGTCGGTCGTTGATCATTCTCAGAACCTCTGTGTCCTGTTGGTATTGGGCTTTGATCTTTCTCACATCCTCTGTACCCTGATGGTATTGGGCTTTGATCATTCTCAGAACCATTCTGCCCTGATGGTGTCGGTCGTTGATCATTCTCAGAGCCACTGTGTCCTGATGGTCTTGGGCTTTGATCATTCTCAGAGCCTCTCACCCTGGTGGTGTTTTGGCTTTGATCATTCTCAGGACAACTGTGTCCTGGTGATGTTGGGCTTTCTCAGAACCACTGTACCCTGGTTGTGTTTGGGCTTTGATTATTCCCAAAGCCACTGTGCCCAGATGTGTTGGGCTTTGATCATTCGCAGAACCACTGCACCCTTGTGGTGTGGGGCTTTGCTCATTCTCAGACCCACTGTGCCCTGCTGATGTTCGGTTTGATCATTCTCAGAACCACTGCACCCTGGTGGTGTTGGGCTTTGGTCATTCTCAGAATCAGTGTACCCTGCTAATGTTCGGTTTGATCATTCTCAGAACCACTGCACCCTGGTGGTGTTGGGCTTTGCTCATTCTCAGAACCACTGCACCCTGGTGGTGTTGGTCTTTGATCATTCTCAGAATCAGTGTACCCAGGTGGTGTTGGGCTTTGATCATTCTCAGACCCACTGTGCCCTGGTTGTGTTGGACTTTGGTCATTCTCAGAATCAGTGTACCCTGCTAATGTTCGGTTTGATCATTCTAGGAACCACTGTACCCTGGTGGTGTTAGGCTTTTATCATTCTCAGAACCACTGTGCCCTGGTTGTGTTGGGCTTTGGTCATTCTCAGAATCAGTGTACCCTGCAAATGTTCGGTTTGATCATTCTCGGAACCACTGCGCCCTGGTGGTGTTTGGGCTTTGATCATTCTCAGACCCACTGTGCCCTGGTTGTGTTGGACTTTGGTCATTCTCAGAATCAGTGTACCCTGCTAATGTTTGGTTTGATCATTCTAGGAACCACTGTACCCTGGTGGTGTTAGGCTTTTATCATTCTCAGAACCACTGTGCCCTGGTTGTGTTGGGCTTTGGTCATTCTCAGAATCAGTGTACCCTGCTAATGTTCGGTTTGATCATTCTAGGAACCACTGTACCCTGGTGATGTTAGGCTTTTATCATTCTCAGAACCACTGTGCCCTGGTGGTGTTTGGGCTTTAATCAATCTCAGAACCACTGTGCCCTGAAGGTGTTGGGCTTTCATCATTCACAGAACCACTGTATCCTGGTGGTGTTTGGCTTTGATCATTCTCAGAACCACTATGCCCTGATGGTGTTAGCTTTGATCATTCTCAGAACCAGTGTACCCAGGTAGTGTTTGGGCTTTGATCATTCTCAGGACCGCTGTGCCCTGGTGGTGTCGGTCGTTGATCATTCTCAGATCCACTGTGTCTTGATGGTGTTTTTGCTTTGATCATTCTCATAGCCACTGTGCCCTGATGGTGCCGGTGGTTGATTATTCTCAGAACAACTGTGCCCTGATGATGTTGTGCTTTGTTCATTCTCAGAACCACTGTGCCCTGATGGTGTCCGTCGTTGATCATTCTCAGAGCCACTGTGTCCTGATGGTGTGGGGCTTTGATCATTCTCAGAAGCACTGTACCCTGGAGGTGTTTGGGCTATGATTATTCCCCAAACCACTCTGCCCTGGTGGTGTTGGGCTTTGATCATTCCCAGAACCACTGTACCCGGCTGGTGGTGTTCTTTTATCATTGTCAGAACCACTGTGCCCTGGTGGTGTTGGGCTTTGATCAATCTCAGAACCATTGTGCCCTGAAGATGTTGGGCTTTAATCATTCACTGAACATCTGTACCCTGGTGGTGTTGGGCTTTGATCATTCTCAAAACCAGTGTGCCATGATGGTGTTGGGCTTTGATCATTCTCAGAACCAGTGTACCCTGATGATGTTGGGCTTTGATCATTCTCAGAACCAGTGTACCCAGGTAGTGTTTGGGCTTTGATCATTCTCAGAACCACTGTGCCCTGATGGTGTCGGTCGTTGAT